GGTGAGTTTTTTCTCCTTCACGCACCTTGTTGACCGTCCCTAAAGATCTTCGGCATAGGTAATCCGTAATACAGAAATACGGGCTCGCAGAAGCCATGGTAGATCAAGTTTTTTATAATTGATCAGAAACCGAAGGACTAATGGGAAGAAAAAATGGCCAGCGACCTTTTGCATACATAAAATAAATTTTTCTATAGTATACGTGATATGTCTACATGGTCTTCGGGAAGTTCACGCTAAAAGATCCTTACGTGGTCGGTGGCGGTTATTTTTTTCTCGGCGCAATATGGCAGGTGTCATACTTTGCGAATCGCTAGTGAATCACGCGATTTGCTAGCGGTTCGAGAGGTAGGAGCAATGCGCCAACGATAATCGCGGGCGCATCGCTGGGTTCCCTGACGCTCCAACTATTTAATCGCTAGCTCATGCGCGAATCGCTAACACGTGATCACACTCTGACATCTGCCTAAAGCGTGTCTGGCGAAAACCACCTGCACACGTGGGGTCGCCTTTTAATTCTTACTAATGGGATACGTTCGGCTCACCTTGTTAGCTTTCATTCGGGCTTGGGTGGAGAGGTGAGAAAAATGGTGGCTTCAAGTGTGACCGGAATTAGGTTCACCAGTAGAACGAGCCCAAGTACTGCTCTAAAAATCTTATAACTAGTTTTGAGGGGTTTCTCTTCGTTTTTCTTGTGGCAGTGTCATGTTATACATGTTATTGTTGGGAATATAAATAAATAAATAATTTTGAGAGAAGCACATTGTTGCTCAAATACAGAGTACGTGAAATCCCGTAACTAATTGTTGGCAGTAAGTATTCACAAAAATTATATTTTTGTCTATTGGTATTATATTTTTGTTTAGGAGACATCATGGGTCCCGTGCTATCAAACATCGAAGGCCTTGTTCGTATGCCTTACGGATGTGGGGAGCAGAACATGCTAAACTTCGTCCCGAATATCGTCGTGTTACGGTATCTGAAAGCTACTAACCGAGCTGAGCCTACCATCGAGGCGAAAGCAGTAAAGTTCATGGAGGCTGGATATCAGCGAGAACTCACCTACAGGTATTTAAGGATCATCCTTTTTCGCGGTATTCACAGCCTTTTGTGCTCTTTCAGGCGCAACGACAATTCATTCTCAGCCTTTGGCGAAAGCGATAAGTTCGGATCCACGTGGTTGACCGCGTTTGTTGTTCGATCGTTCGCTCAGGCTCGCGCATACATTTTTGTCGACCCTACCGTACTCACAAAAAGCATTGCATTCCTTAACGGACAACAAATGGTAAGATAAGGGCTACTTGATTCTTCGCTCTGACTGAAGAGAAGAGATTGAGAGGAGTTTTCCAGGAAACCGGCGCATTTGCTGAGCATGGCGAAGTTCATCACAAGGATATGCAAGGAGGAGCCAGTGAAGGAGGCATCGGCCTGACGGCGTATGTCGTCGTGGCGCTACTTGAGAATGGGGTGAGTGCCAGCTTTTTGTGAGGAAGTTTTCACGAAATTATTCCAACAACTTGAGCCAAATGAAATCACATGCAGATTCGCAACGACAATGGTATCGCGTTTCTGGAGAAGCACCTGCGACAGTCTGAATTTCAGATGCCTATGCTCTTGCGGTGACTGCCTATGCGCTACGATTGGCAAATAGCGACAAGAAGAAGGATGCACTTGCAGCCCTGGAGAAGTTGCAGATCGTCGACAAAGGTGAATATTGAAAGACTGAGCCTTGACTGATCCTTCCTCAAGTTACGTGTTCTCTTCAAAATTGATGGAAAGTTTCGTTGGCTTTTGTGAAGTTCGTTCTTGTGCTCAATCCCCTAGCAATGCCAAAGAAACGGCTTACTTGACGCTTCCAAACCCAGCCCAAAAGATGATTGCTTCTCATGAGTTTCAAAGACTCTACCCAGACGGAAATCGTGAAGTTTTTTCGGTTTGTGGGACGGACCCCTAAAGGGCAATCACAAATGTGGAACTTCCATGCATGAGTCACCCGATAAGGGCTCTAGGGCCTTGTAAAGTTGGTTGCAGCAGCTGCAATGTTTCCCGTCCCCAGCACGCTCTTGTTTGGCGCTCTCTCACCTCGCACTTTCCTCTTCCGCGCCCAATCTTTCATTGCCTTAGCGCAGTTGCATTATACAAGTTCGACATGTGTTTTCATCGGATTCTCTTCCCCTTGTCTTTTCCTTCTTCATATATCTTTAACGGAAGCATTAAGGTGATCGCTCATAGGTACCTTCAGCATAGAACGCATACCGCGCAACTTGGCCATCTCCCGCACGGCGAAATGTGCGAATATAGCACTGGTTAACAGTAAGTCAATGCGGAATATAATTCCCTTACCTCTCCATAATATACAAACAGTCATTATTAATGAGCCACGCAGGGATGAGAACTTGGTAGCCCGAGCTAGGACCCATTCTCGCACTCCATCGAAAGGCACGCCCTATGATAAGCTCGATATATAAGAGCGCACTACATATATTGACGGTGGAGGTGCGTACTGGACAGAAAGTGAAAAAGAAAGCCAGCGAAAAATCGAGAACATTGAAGTTATGGGCTTCACCCTCTGTTAGGTTCGCCGTGTACGACGGAGAGAGATGGCGCAGAAAAGCGAGAATACGCGAAATGGCACGCGGTACGAGGCAAAGTACACGAACACAAGCTGGCTAGCTCCAGTGCTCTAAGCCCAAGGTTCCGCCTTGATGTTGTTAGGGGAGCATCACCTTGCTATTTTACTTGCTCTATTATCGAAATGTGTATTTTGTTGAGTGACAAAGGATCGAAGCAAATTTGAAAAATGTAACTTTTTTCCGATGGCACAATCCACTGGTCGTCGTCGAAAGGTGTCGATAAATCAAAAGACACCACGCAGTACTTCTACCAACCACGACCTGTAGATGTGGAGACGACCGGCTACGTGCTGCTCAACTACATGCTGGATGGTGACACTGAAAAGGTTAGCCAAGCAAAATTGTCTTTGCTAT